CATTTTGCTGCAACAGAGCACTAACAGAGGCATGGCAGTGTATTTGCAAGAAAATGTGTGTGCAACCACACCCCTTGTCATGTTCAAAGCTCAAAGAAGTGTAGTTCTCGACTCTCGAGCCATCAATCACTTATTTCAATGCATGATGGCCAAAGCGGTCGAGTTGCACAAATCAATGCCAAATGAATGCACAAAAACACGTTAATGCCTTAACCTCTATCATGCATGATCAAGAGGGTCGGCAACCGAGAATTGAGGCACGTTTCATCACTTCAAGTATGAAACATCCCTCATTCCTCGTGTTTTGACTAACACCCAATCCCAAACACAGTACAACACAAGTATGCCAAATACAATGCAATGCTTGCAAGCCAACAACAATGTAAAAACCATGCAATGCGACAAGCATGCAACAACAATACAATGGAACAAGCATGCTATTTAACAAGCATGCAACAACATGCTATCTAACAAACATGCAACAAAGTGCAAACAATAATGCAATGGCAAGAGCCATGTAATGCAACACTTAGTGGACTTAAACCGCATATGGACAGACCTAAGAGGGTCCAAAATAGTGGCCATAACACCAAAACTAAGGCACCAAAAGCCAAGACATGCATGCACACATATTGGTCCAAGAATTAAGGCATAAAGATGCAACTCTTAAGAGCACTTAAAGAGTGAAAAGCTTGGACGTGTGACAACACTATAAGCTCTGAAATCAGGTATGGAATGGTGTCAAACCACTCAAACAACACAAGTATGGCATGCAAGAGGGCCCAAAGCTTGAAGCTAGCAAAGGGACTTACACCATAACTATGCAAAACATGAAGCATACAGCCAAGGCAACCCAAAACAGTCCTAGAACATGTCAAAATGAGTCTAAAACATGCATGGAGCATCACCAAAACAAGCTAGCATAAAGGGCATGAAGCATGAACTTGCAAGGCTAATAAGGAGTATTACACTACACCTATCAAAACCAAGCATGAGGTGACTTCAAAAAAAAAAAAAAAAAAAAAATCAGAGTTATATCATGGCAAAATGAGACCAAATACATACTGATATGGCAGCTTACAATCTTAGGCAAAATGACATACGCAATGGCTCATTCTTAAGGCATAAAGAACCAACTCCTTAAAGCATTGAAGGAGTGACAAATGTGAGTGCATGAACATGAAACATGGACTGAAATCTCATGGGAAATGATGCCAAATCATGCAAACAGCCCAAGCAATGCATTCTAGTGGCTTGGAAACTCTAAGCTAACAAGCTAGAATGCACTATGGCTATACAAAGCATGGCATGCATGACGAAAAAAACACAAATCAGACCTTAAGCATGGTAAAACATGGCCAAAACTTCTTGGAGTTGAGTCAAAACGTGCAAGAATGATGGGCCAAACACATGATGCATGTTAGGCTATTGAATAGAATTGCACTGCAAATGCATGGAGAATGCAAGATGCTATCAAACCAACCTTAGACAGAGGTATAGCATGGCAAAACAACACCAAAAACTTGCTGAGATATGGCCAACATATGCTAGATAAACATGCTACTTTGATGAGCCATCTATACAAGCATACAAGACACAAGGAGAGGGGATGACCCTCTCCTATTTAAGGCCTCAAAACACACTTTCCACCACCAAAATTCCTCTGGAATGCAGTGGTAGGAATTTCAGTGGTGGAAAGGTTAACCAAAGGCTAAAACAAAAGCCTAAAGGGGTGGCTCAAAACAAGGCAAAACAAGGTACTCAAGGAGGTAGATCACCCCCAACCCCAACAAGACCTGAAACAATCATTTCAAACACATGAAAATGAAGCTTTTTATAGTTGAGAGTTAAGCCAAAATAAGCATGAAAATAAGGCTAAATAAGCAATGGACACAAAGCTTAAAAGAGGGTTAGTGGCTCACCCTTGTAGAACAGCTTCAAAGAGGTAACTCCAGCAACTTTCTGAGCTAAAAACCAAACTTTGAGTTCAAGCAAAACCCTCAAGTACCTCAACAACAAGAGTATGGTGTTTCAGGAGGTGTTTGTGTGCAAAAGTGTGAAGAAAATGCACTTTTGAGCACAAACAAGCACAAATATATATAGAGAGAGAGAGGAAATATATAGAGAGAGTGATATATCTTCTATATCAAGATTTTAGAACCTCTGGAATGGGAGAGGGATCTCCCTTCTTATAGAAAAACAAATCTCAAGCTTGTTGAGCAAGCTTGAGACTTGTTTCAATCCCTCCATACATGTGTATAGAGGATAAAATCTGTGCTCACCAGCTGTCATAGCTGGCACAAAAAATATCTGCAAAAGTAGGTAAAATGGCCTCGGCCAAAAGATATGGCCGATAGTCCAAAAAGAGTGTCGATTGGCCAAAAAGAGTGCCAATCGGCCGCCACCAATGGCCGATGGAAAGAAAGCAAGGCCGATAAGCACAAGGCTTGGCCGATGGGTTGTAGGGATGGCCAACAAGCCACCCTCTTTCCTCAGAAGCAAAACCCCAAGTCCATGGTCCACAACCAAGCACAAAACAGACAAGTTGAGAGATACTAAGGCAAGGGTGCAGCCGAGACCTTCGAGAACTCAAAACGAACACGAACATGGATGATCATCGAGTGTTCAAACGATGACGTCCAAGTCTTGAGGACGGTCAAAAATGGGGTGTCTATAGTTGCCCTTTTTTGACAGAACTCGTAAGTCATAAGATGATAGGAGTGAATGTCAAATCCCAGAGATGACCCATTTTTGACGAGGCCGAAGACTTAGACAAGCATACAAGATTACAAAGAGATGCGCCCGCAGGCAGGGTGTAGGGATGGCCAACAAGCCACCCTCTTTCCTCAGAAGCAAAACCCCAAGTCCATGGTCCACAACCAAGCACAAAACAGACAAGTCGAGAGATACTAAGGCAAGGGTGCAGCCGAGACCTTCGAGAACTCAAAACGAACACGAACATGGATGATCATCGAGTGTTCAAACGATGACGTCCAAGTCTTGAGGACGGTCAAAAATGGGGTGTCTACAGTTGCCCTTTTTTGACAGAACTCGTAAGTCATAAGATGATAGGAGTGAATGTCAAAGCCCAGAGATGACCCATTTTTGACGAGGCCGAAGACTTAGACAAACATACAAGATTACAAAGAGATGCGCCCGCAGGCAGGGGCAAGATGCCAATGACATGCACAATGCCGAGCATAACTTATAATCATGCAAAGAGAGCTGTGATGAAGCAAATATGCAAACTAAATGCAACAATTTAAGCAAGTGCTATGCAAGCAACTAAACACGAACCAAACTACATCTCAGGCAAAAAGGATGTAAGAAAATTATGCAATTCTCACTGCGTCTCACGCAGAGAAGGCTAAAAGCGACTACCGAGAACACCCAGAGTCTCAAACGAAACACCTCCTAGCGTATCATACGCAAAAGGAGAAAGGCATCCAAACGCGTGCCAAAACGCAAGTGGAGAAGGGTACGTCCAAACGTGACACACGCGAGTGGAGAAGAGTTGCGCAAGAAAGTGCGATGCACTAGACAGTGCGAGTACGTCCAAACGCGACGCATGTAAGTGGAGAAGGGTACATCTAAACGCGACACACGCGAGTGGAGAAGGGTCACTCAAGAAAGCGCGATGCACTAGACAGTGCGAGTATGTCTAAACGCGGCACACGCGAGCGGAGAAAGGTTACATCCAAACGTGGCACGCGTGAGTGGAGAAGGGTTGCGCAAGAAAGCGCGATGCACTAGACAGTATGAGTACGTTCAAACGCGGCACACGCGAGTGGAGAAAGGTACGTCCAAACGCGACACACACAAGTGGAGAAGGGTTGCGCAAGAAAGCGCGATGCACTAGACAGTGTGAGTACGTCCAAACGCGGCACACGCGAGTGGAGAAAGGTTACGTCCAAATGCGACACACGCGAGTGGAGAAGGGTTGCGCAAGAAAGCGGGATGCACTAGACAGTGCGTGTACGTCCAAATGCAGCACATGCGAGTGGAGAAAGGTTACGTCCAAACGCGACACACGTGAGTGGAGAAGGGTTGCGCAAGAAAGCACGATGCACTGGACAGTGCGAGTACGTCCAAACGCGGCACACACGAGTGGAGAAAGGTATGTCCAAACGCGACACATGCGAGTGGAGAAGGGTTGCGCAAGAAAGCGCGATGCACTAGACATTGCGAGTACGTCCAAACGCGGCGCACGTAAGTGGAGAAAGGTACATCCAAACGCGACACACGGGAGTGAAGAAAGGTACGTCCAAACGCGGCACATGCGTGTGGAGAAAGGCTACAGTCAAATTGAACCGGAACTTCTCTTGAATGAACCATACATACAATATCGTCTGGTTTCACCATCTTCAAATGAATCGTACATACAATATCATGCCTGCACAAAAGAGAGATTTTGACAAGTACAATATAACAAGAACATACGATCAACGCTACATCAAGATACAATATCAACACAAGATAAATGCGTGCACATATGATGTCGATGGAAACATGCATAGCAATGCAAGTGAAAAGTGCGTGACAATGCAACTGGAACAATCGTAACAATGCAAGTGAAAAGTGCATGACAACGCAAGCAAAGTATGGGTGCATAACAATGCAATTGAAACAAGCATAACAATGCAAGTAAAACATGCATGACAACGCAAGTAAGGGGATGCATGACGATGCAACCTAAGTGTACGTGACAACGCGAATAAAGAGGTGCAAGAGAATGCAACCTAAGAGTGCGTGACAACGCGGATGGAGGGGTGCAAGACAATGCAACCTAAGAGTGCGTGACAACGCGGATGGAGGGGGTGCAAGACATTGCAACTTAAGAGTGCGTGACAACGCGAATGGAGGGGTGCAAGACAATACAACCTAAGAGTGCGTGACAACGCGAATGGAGGGGGTGCAAGACAATGCAACCTAAGAGTGCGTGACAACGCGGATGGAAGGGGTGCAAGACAATGCAACCTAAGAGTGCGCATAACAATGCAAGGAAAACGTGCGTGACAACGCAAGTAGTGTGTGCATAACAATGCGAGTGAAAAGTGCATGACAATGCAACAAGCGTGCGCGACAACGCAAGTAAGGTGTGCATGACAATGCAACAACAATGAGATGCACATATTCAACGTAAGCATGGTAAAGGCATGCTATTCGCGATATTGGGATACAACCTAAAAACAAGATGAGGCGTTCTCAATGTAAGAGTGAAAAGATGTATATAACAAATACGCACCTTACAAACATAACAAAACATTGTAATGCAACATATTCAAAAGCAATTCTTGAGCAATTCTCAAATCTTGCAATATACAAAAGGATACGAAAAAGGATACACCTCGTGCGTATCAAGCAACGCACAAGGAAGACACGGTTCGAGGTCACCACGAAGGCCGCGTAAGCTTCAAAAGTGTACTTCCTTGCACTTTCTTGAAAGATGAGGGTGCCAATTAACAGAATTACCCCAAACAAGGGCATTGGAGGTGCATCGACTATAAGGGCCATCCATCGGCCATCAAAAGAGCTTATCGGCTGAAAATTTAGCCGTTTGGCCAATAATTTGGCCGATCGGCCAAAAGTGGCAAATTCGGGGCAGTTTTTTCCATTTGCTTCGGGCCTTTAAATATAGGGTTCCAAACCCTATATCCTCACTTGTCCTTAGCTGAAAACTCTTGCTCTCTCTCTCTAGGTTGTTTTCCATCCTTCGATTCAAGCTTTTCCCCCGTTTTCCAAGCTTCCACAACTTTCAATTCGCAAAACCCTCTTCGTTCCAAACACTTTGAACCGATCAAAATGTGATTTCGGAGCCACATTCTAGATTTCCACCACTTGGGGTTTGTTTCACCCAAGTTATCCTTGGTTTCCGTGCCTTCTCCCACACTTCGACTTCTTCTTCTATTTTCCCCCCTCGGGGTTGACTTTCAGTTGACTTTTGGCATTCTTGCCCATTTTTCGTACCCTCGATCATTTCCTTCCTCTTCTCGAGATGGCAGCCGATATTCCATAGGGTGGGGCTCCTCTAGAGATGGAAATGGAGATGGATCCTGAGTTCGAGCTCTTGCCACTCAGTGTTCGGCCATTCGACCCGGTGACGTACCAGCCTGAGGTACATGTGTTGCCTCCCGACAGTATTCGCCAGTTCAGGAGCTACGCATGAGGTGCGCCATTGGAGCTCCTGCTACACGAACCAGAGTCACACCTTTCATATGGCGCCGCTAAGGTATACTCTTCCTCTTTACTTTCTGCAATGTAGGTCGTATATCTTGGATAGTTGATACTGCCCTTTATCTAATCATCACAGACACACTTATAGATCACATGCTTAGTTCATCCTGAGCACATTCATACATGATATCTGTGCCAACTCGAACACATGCACACACACTACATTTTCATCAATTCTGGACACATTCAAACACTGTATTTCTAACACTACTTCGCATCTGTTCGTCTTGAACACAGGGAGATTCGCATGCCTTCCGAGGTTATGGAAACACCATTCCCCGAGATTGGTACATGTAGTTGCCTGATGAGGTCCGCCAGATCGTCGACCATGCCAGCTTCGGCATTTTCTGCATGGGACTCTCGCACCTCACTGCGAGTAGGCCCCTTCTAGGCGCACTGGTTGAGAGGTGGTGGGACACCACTGATTCCTTCCACCTTTCTGCAGCGGTGGAGATGACGATGATTCCCTTTGACTTCTCCATGCTCACCGGCATCGTAGTAGGGGTGATCCGATCCCTTTCGACACCGACATGGGCAAGTGGGATGCGCTTAGATCTTTCTGCTAGGGATTCGCCCACCCCTCTCCCGATCGGGGTTCGTAAGATATTAATGGTTCGAGGACCAGTTCAAGATACAGATACCGACGACCCGAGAGGAGGTCAAGCAGTATGCCTGAGGGTTCATCATGCTCTTGCTGGGCACCACCCTCTTCACCGACCAGGCGAACACAGTTGGCCTTCATCTGTTGAGCACGCTGGTGGACGTGACCAGGATCCGACGCTATGATTGGGGTGGCACAGGCCTAGCCACATTGTACGGGTACATGAGCTCCTCATCATACCGGAGCGGGCATCTGTTAGGAGGCTATTGGCGAGCCTGGGAGGTACACCTTTCCCTTCTGTTTTACAGTTCTACTTTACACTACCTGTACACCATACACACTGCATACACACAATCTTCTTTACACTGGCTGTACACTACACACATTGCACAATATACTGCACACCATTCTCTAATTTCTGCTTTATCTGCATACTGCTTTTATTGATAAAACATACTCATTCTTACCCTGTTACATTCTGTAGTTGTGGGTGTATGCCTACTTTCCGAGGCTTGCTTCAGAGCCGGAGGTGGAGATGCCCCTCGTTGTTCCCTATTCTCATCGATATGATGTGAGGTGCGGGCAGAGGCCGCGGGAGTTTTTCCTGTTCTTCCGCAGATACTTTGACACCATAGCCGTAGCAGAGGTATTTCAAAACTTACAGTTCATTTAAGCTTTGCTCTATATTCCACTCTCAATAATAGATAATAAACTGTATATCTTGTCATTTGCAGATCACCTGGCAGCCCTGGGCAGTGCTGCTTAACACAGTGAAGGACCAGTGCATGGGTGCTCGGTAGGCTGCCCGGTTCCGGGTTTTGCTGGAGGGTCCGGTCTGTCGGGCATGGTATTTGGGAGAACGCTTCCTGCATCAGACCCTTAGTTTACCTGAGCAGATAGTCCCGAGGCCACCTCCTACCCATATGAGGCATACAGAGAGGTACATCCCGCAGGAGATGATCGATTTCACTATTGGCTGGGACGCTGACTTTTTCAGAGATGAGGGCGACTACACCGTCTTCATCCAGACTCATCTTATGCGACCTCTGGCCAGTGCTCGTCGAGTTGAGAGGGAGAGGCCTGCAGCCCCAGTAGGGAGAGTAATAGCACAGAGGGCGACTCAGGCCTGCGACAGGAGTGGTTCCCGAAGGGGACGAAGAGTAGAGTGGACAGACTTGCCCACCACTATGACATGCTGAGGACAGGGTGGAGAGACTTACCAGATACCCATCACTCCTCCTCCGGCTGATCATAAGCTCGTCAGAGTTTGCGGCTCGACCCCAGTATGTGCTATACTTTGCATTCTGTATAGTCATTTCATTTCATTCGGTATCCTGCAGAATACTAATTACTTCAACACTTTTGCAAGCTTCGATCGAGTATACTGGGCAGGCTCTGGAGCTATCGGCCTCAGTGATGGGGATGCTACAGAGTAGGCTCTGGACGTTCGTCTAGGAAGAGGACGAGGAGAGACTCCCGCACTTGAGGCGACCGGTGCCGATCCAGATGCTACTGCATTTTGCTTTATTTTTCTTTTTTTTACTAGTAGTTTTTGCACATTGTACTGCGTCAGGCATATTTTATTTTCTTCAAAACTACGTACTTTTGCAAAAGAAAACATGATGGAATGAAACAACATTTTTGTTGAAAAAATGTTACATTTGTACATTCTAAGCATCGCATCGCATCACATTACATAACAATGTAAATGAGATTGAACTTTGTTTTGATAACTAAACACTCGAATTGCATTAATCAGGTAGTGAACCAACTGACAACAGAACAACTCGATAAGCAAAACAAAGAACTTGAGAACACAAAATACAACTCGATAAACAAAAGTACAACAGTACTTTTGCAAAAGAAAACATGATGGAATGAAACAACATTTTTGTTGAAAAAATGTTACATTTGTACATTCTAAGCATCGCATCGCATCACATTACATAACAATGTAAATGAGATTGAACTTTGTTTTGATAACTAAACATTCGAATTGCATTAATCAGGTAGTGAACCAACTGACAACAAAACAACTCGATAAGCAAAACAAAGAACTTGAGAACACAAAATACAACTCGATAAACAAAAGTAAAACAACTCGATAAACAAATTGAAGTAACACAGGCGTGACTTCGCAAAATCATCACCGAAAGGCATTTGAAGTGGAACAAGTCACAAGTTCTCAACATCTCCAACACATAGACAGCTTAGAGAACAAAAGGAAAGGCCATCGGCCAAGGGAAATGACCATCGGCCAAAATTACTAGCCGATCGGCTAAAAAGATGGTCAGTTGGCACTCTTTTTGGCCGATCAACCAAAAAATGGCAAGAACCTCCAGAATGCTGCCACCTGTCTTCCACTCAACACCTTAACTTCTACAAAAGCCTCAGCTTCGTAGTTTCTCCATTTCAGCTCAGTTTTTGCACCAAATGGAAGCATTTTTTGACCAAAATCTCACAAATTGGATTGCCACCTTGGATGGCTCGAAAAAGCTAAATTTCTGGGGCTTTGGAATTAATGCATTATTCACCCTGAGCCGCACCCCGCTGCATTTTCCGTTCCTTCATGCCATGGAAAGGTATTGGAATCTGATTATGCCCGTTTTTAGCTTTGGCAGACAACAGTTGTGTCCCACTTTTGAAGACTTCCAAGCTTTGATAGAGTTCGAACGTGAGGAAGAGATTTTGGCACAGTTCTGCTTCGGCCACATCCAAGCCTTAGGACGGACGGGGATTTGGACATCCCCAGCTTGGTTCATCGGTTTTCTGATGCTGGTGACCGCGGCGATCATCACTGGCATGGTTTTCGGCGACGTGCTCTTTGCTTATGCATGTTATCTCATTTCTTGCTTGCCTCGGGATTTAGAGGATCTAGCGTCCATTTGATTGAGGTCGCCCAATGCTTGAAAGAGGGCAAGAGTTGCATCGCCATGACACTAGCTGAGACATTGATGGGCTTCGATGCATTCCATCGCCGAGAGACGACTAGATTCGCGGGGAGTCCAGTGCTATTGCAGGTAATGGTTCCCACCCTATCTCACATATATTTCTCACATCACTCGGCCCTCAGGTTCGGTTTTTCTCTCAAAACCCTTTTTCTCACTTTTCTCTCAACGTACACCTCTCTATTCTTTAATCTCTCATTTTTCATCCCTCCCCAGATATGGTTGACGGATAAATTGAAGGTTATGGCTCATGCCAAGCATATTTAGCTCTTGGCTATTTCTTCCAGTGACGTCTAGTCGATACCCCTGATGAGGGATAGTGGTGCGAATGGATGTGTAGTCTATCCGCTACCAGTATTGCTTGGCGCTGCCCTTGGCTTAATCTGCCGGCGATGAGTTACAGCATGTCTCGCCAGCTTGGGATTCAGTTGATCGGCCTGACACACTATGTCTTTTACTTCCCGTTTCGATTTCGGCGACAGTTCGGACATGATCAGACTTGCCCGGCTGAGGGGATAGAGTACCCTGCTGCATTTCCGGTCCGAAGCGCAAAGCTAGCTCGGTATGCCATAACATGGAGGACGAGAGAGCTTCTGGCCCCCGCTCCCACTTTCAGTTGCACCCTCTTTGATGAATGCATAGCTTGGCTTGATGAAGAGGCACAGGTTGGGCCTGCTTTGGCATCAGAGGCTTCCACAACCTCTGGAAGGGGACGCAGGAACACCTGACTATGCCCCGAATTTATTTGCTTTATCAATACTTTCAAGTTTTCTTTATGAATATAATAAAAAGCAACTTCAATTTGTATTCAAGAGTAGGAGAACTCTGTACTGAAATCAATGTAATTGAAGGTTGTGGGTACTGAAAATTTTCCGTTTGGTCAAAAAAAGGTCTAAGTCGTAAAAAGATTAATTTGAGCAAAATCAACTTTTATCAAAACTTTTCAAAACTATTTTCGATATGAATCAAAACTGGACACGCCCGAGATCTATCACTGAGATGTGAGATGTACAACCCTGGATCCCGGTCTCGGTATCTCACACTCAGGTCGGGATACATCGTCAGAGCTCTTGAATGCAGAATAGACAAAGATGACCAACATGATCACATGGACAAACTTGATTTGGAAGTGTTTATGGCTGGACTTCAGAATGAAGTTGCCTACGTATCTCGAAGATGGTAATCAAGCCTTACGTAGTTCGGTTAAGGTACACTCGGGTATTAACACTCTCCTTTTACGCTCTAACTTTTGCCAAGACCGCCCTTTCTGGGTTTTCAACCTTGCGAGCTCAGTTTTTATTATTTTCAAATTTTCTGTGCGCCTTTTCGGGTTTTCGGCCTAGCGAGCCACTCAGGGAAAGTATTTCTTCAACTTGTCCATGTTGATCGGTTGGGAGAACTCAAGGCCATCTAGGTCCATCAGAACGACAGCTCCACCCGACCAGATAGACTTGATGATGTAAGAATCAGTCCAATTCGGTCTGAACTTGCCCCTAGGGTCGTGGATGGGAGCTCGGTTGTCTTTGAGCACTAGATCCCCCTCTTTCAAATTCCTGGACTTAACCTTCTTGTTGAAAGCCCTGGCAATTCTTCGTTGATAACCCTGGACATGATACAGTGCTTTCAGCCTTCTTTCATCAAAGAGCATGAGTTCTTCGAACCTGCTTTGCTGCCAATCTGCCTCAACTATCTGACACTCAGCCAATACCTGTAACGACGGAACCTCAACTTCGATAAGCTGAACAGCCTCCATCCCATAAACCAAGGAATATGGAGTTGCCCCAGTAGAAGTTCAAATTGAAGTCCGGTAGCCCCAAAGAGCAAATGGCAGCTTATCTGGCCAGTCTCGGTAGGTCTCCACTATCTTCTGCATGATGTGCTTGATGTTCTTGTTGGCGGCCTCAACTGCTCCGTTGGTTTGCGGCCGATATGTAGATGACTTGTGAAAAACCATGTTGTACTTGTCCAACAAGTCGATCACCTCCTTCTTGAAGTGGGAACCATTATCTGAAATAATCTCATTCGAGACTCTATAGCGACAGATGATGTTGTTTCTGGTGAACTTAGCAACATGTGATGCCTTCAACACCGCGTAAGATTGGGCCTCAACCCACTTTGCGAAGTAGTCTATCGCTACTAGAATATACTCACGCCCGTTGGACCCCTTCGAAGTGACAACCCCAATCACATCAATCCCCCAGACTAAAAACGGCCATGGCGAAGTCATGTTGTATAGCTTCGATGGCGGAATGTTCATGCAGTTTGCATGGACTTGACATTTGTGGCATCGCCGGACAAAGCCAATACAATCCTCCTCCATGGTGGACCAATAATAACCCTGCCTAAGGATCTTCCGGGCTAGCATCACCCCGTTCATGTGTGCTCTGCACTCTCCTTCATGGATGGCCTCCATCAGGCGCTTGGATTCTTCAGCATCAACACATAGCTTATGCATCCCGAGATGACCCCTCTTGTACAGTTTACCTCCGCAGACAAATGAACTGAGCAACCATTCTTTGAATCGCCCTCATATCTTTGGCATTTGCCCCTGGTGGATACGCCTCTTTTTCCAAGAAGTTCTAGACATCGTAATACCAGGGATTCTCATCTTGTACCTCATCTATGGTAGCAATCAACTCATAGGCCGGCACGAATTTCTATTCGATGATGATCAGACGCATCCAGACTCTGAAAGGAATGTCTATCATAGAAGACAGAATTGCTAATGAATCAACAAACTTGTTGTTTTCTCTTAACAGATGAGCGAAATTTAGTTTCTCAAATCGAGGAATCAGCACGTCCAAGGTCAGGTGGTAGATTCTCATCTTTTCTTCTTTAACTTTCTAATCTCCTTTAGCTTAAGATACAACAAGGTTCGAGTCCCCGTTGACGTCCAACCGTTTTGCCCCTAATTCTAGGGCGGCTTCTAGTCCGGCGATACATGCCTCATATTCTGCCTCATTGTTCGATACTCTGAAGTGGAGTTTCAATGCTAGAGGTATGCGGGAATTGTCGGGCGCTATCAGCAATACCCCTATCCCATACCGGTATCGGTTTGACGCTCCGTCAAAGTACATCGTCCAAGTCTCTTCTTCGACATCCAGAATGGCCTTGTCTGGGAATAGATACTCAACTGCTTCATCCCCGTCCACCGGGTGATCGGCTAGGAACTCCTTTACCATTCTCCCTTTCACTGACTTGCGCATCATGTACTTCAGATCAAATTCGAAAAACAGAAGCAACCAACGGGCTAGCCTACCCGTAAGTGCTGATTTCCTGAAGAGATATTTGATGGGATCTAATCTCGAAACCAGTATTACAGAGTGAGCTAATAGGTAGTGTCGCAGCTTCCTGGTAGCCCATACCAAGGCCAGACAAGCCTTCACCAGCGGAGTGTAACGGGTCTCGTAATCCAGCATTTTCTTGCTCAGGTAGTAGATAGCCTTCTCCACTTTGTCCTCAGGCTCCTGTGCAAACATGCAACCCATTGTAGTTTCAGTCACTGAAAGGTACAGAATCAACGGTTTCCCCAGCTCAGACTGTGACAACACAGGTGGGTTCTGTAAATATTGCTTAATCTGTTCAAAAGCAGCTTGGCATCGACCATCCCATTGGAATTTCTTTCCTCTCTTCAGGAGACCAAAGAGTGGTTCACAAGTCAAGGTTAATTTAGTA